CATTACCAACTGTTCGTGATTTGAGTTTCAGCTTCTGTAGGTCTGAGCCTGTGGTCCAGGCTGAGTGCAACAAACATGGAGAAATTCCCCACTACTCGCATGAAACCGCTAACAAAATTCTAACTTTTTATGCGATGCTTGCATAACTTCAATCCGCCAGCATGGAGAAAGAAATGGACATGGTAGAAGTCGCTGTGCGATGAAAATCCAGGGAACTAGTACGAAGCCAAAAAGCGACACCATGAACTGCCTGTAGGTGGCGCTGTTGCACTCACAGTTGTGTGGTTATGTATATTGATGTGTTCAGGGGTCATACGGTATTACAGAAATCATTTTTCGCCTCACGGACAAACATTTTGCCCCAAAAAGCTCATTCATCACTTTTACGGCGCCCCAGTGGTCAGGTGTTAGGACTTACAACTTTTGATTAATGTAATGTTTTGCTGTCTCGGTCCAGAGAATTACACTCAACATTTTTCGGGCCGAATCCGAGCACCTAGTGCCTGTTACTTTCGACAGTGGCGCTAAAGAGCTTCAATTGCGGCGAATGATTTTAGTGTCATTGCGTCAGGCCCATAACCTAATATTACTGATGTTGGAGTCTCAGCTCTGTAGGTCTGAGCTGTGGCCCTCAGGGCTCAGCAAATTGCCCAAAACGAAGGCTTATTCGCCATGGCGAGGGAACGAAAACGGGGAAGATTTTCTACTTTTTTTTGATGATTATATAAACTTCATACGTCCAGATTAGGAAAATGACGTGGTAGAACTCAGTGTGATGAAAAAACCAAGGACTAGTTCGAATTTTCTAAATGATAAAGTCAAATTAGTGGCGAAACTTGCCCTTCATGGCGACCCTTCTGTTGGTCCCAGATACATGTGCTTCTAGGACCTGCCTTTTATGTCGTCTCATAGAGATCTCTCACTCGATCGAATTTCGTGTACCTACTCAAAAATTTGAAAAAAAAACTCCCCGAGGTCAAAAAAAATTGAAATTTTCTAGGGGGCGTTTTTATAGAGTTCGGCGAGCGTCGGACGAATCTGGAAAAACGTTCATTTTATCAAATTTTTCGCGGAAAACGGTCGTTTTAGACCCCCATGTGCAGGACTTTCGTGCAGTCTTCCGGTGTCAAAAATCGAATTGAAGTTGCGGGAAATAAATAAGAATAATAATTAAAGCCGCAAGCGGCGATGAAAGGCCTCGCCCCTCATTGCGACGCTCCCGGGGCGCCAGTCCTCACAAGCGTCACGCCGCCGAATTGGCAGCCGATCTGACCAGGTTTACGAATCATAAAAAGCTCATTTTAAATATGATATGAAGTGCGCCTAGTGGTTCACCTTCGGGGGACATGCACCCTCTACGTAGAGTAATATTTTGCTCGTACAGATGTTAAAGATTTGATTTTGCAACTTTGGTGAAGATCGGAAAAGTTTAGGTCAGAAGCCTCTACATAGGAGGCGCTGTAGAGTCATATTAGGTGAGGTGTTTGCACACCATTAAATCAGGCCATTACCAACTGTTAGCGCGTGGAGTTTCAGCTCTGTCAGGTACTGATCCTTTGGTCAGTGAGAGCCTCAAACATGGAGAAAATCCCCGCTAACCTCGCATGAAACGATAACAAACATTTCTAACTTTTATGCGATGATTGCATAAACTCTTAATCCGTCCAGATGGTGGAAATGACATGGTAGAAGTCTGGCGATGGAAATCCAGGGATAGTACGAAGCCAAAAGATGAGACAATTGCATGCCTGTAGGTGGCGCTGTTGCACTCACAGTTGGAGTGTTGCATATCGTTGTGTTCAGGGTATACGCTGTATTTTCATGAATTCATTTTTAGCCTCATCGGACAAAGATTTGCCCAAAAAGCTATTTTATTCACATTACGGCGCCCCCCAGTGGTTCAGGCTGCTGGGTCGTTACAATTTTGCGTAATGTAATGTTTTGTCGTCTCGGTCCAGGACGACACACAGCGATTTTTCGGAGGCAGATCGAGCACTAGTTGCCTATTACTTTCCGACAGGTTGGCGCTAATAGAGCTCGAATTGGGCGAATGATTTTAGTGTCATTGCGTTCAGGCCATAACCTAATATTACTGCTGTGAGGTCTCAGCTCCTGTAGGTCTGAGCCCGTTGGCCCTCAGGGGCCCAGCGAAAATGGCCAAACAAAACGAAGGCCTTATTGCCATGGCGCCGGACGAAAACGGTGAAGTTTTTCTAACTTTTTTTTGATGATTTATATAACTTTCAAATCCGTCAGATTGGGAAATTACGTGTAGAACTGTGTGTGATGAAAAACCGGGGACTCAGTTCGATTTCTAAAATGAATAAGTCAAATTAGGGCGAAACTTTGGCCCATCATGCGACTTCCTGTTGGTCCCAGACATGTGCTACGAAACGGCTTTTAAGCTCGTTCATAAGAGATCTATCATCATCCGATTAGGTCTACGTATCAAAAATTTGAAAAAAAATCCCCAGAGGGTCAAAAAAATGAAATCTAGGGGGCGAGTTATTAGAGCTCGGCGGAGCGGTCGGACAATCTGGAAACGTTCCATATTTATCAAAAATTTTTCGCCGAACGCCGGTTCGTTGTTGACCCCCTATGTGCAGACTTGCGAGCATGTCTTCAGGGTCAAAAACGAACTTGAAGTTGCGGAAAAGAACAAAGAATAATAATATGAAACCGTGTGAATAAACAATCAGGCCTACCCATACTTTCGTCATTGGCTAGGCTAACTTTAAAGCCGCAGCGGCGATGTAAAGGCCTCGCCCCTCTTGCGACCGCCTCCCGGGCGCCTAGTCCCACAGCGTCACGCGACGAATGGCAAGCCCCGATCTGACCAGGATTACGTATATAAATGCTATTTATATGATAAAGTGCGTCCCTCGTGGTCACTCCGGCGGACATGCCCCTCTACGTAGAGTAGTGTTTTGCTAGTTTTACAGATGTAAAGATTTGATTTTGCAACTTTGGTGAAGATCGGAAAAGTTGTAGGTCAGAAGCCATCCGATAGGTGGCGCTGTTAGCGTCTATTAGGTGCTGTGTTTCACACCATACTATCTCAGGGCCTATTACCAGCAGTTAGTGAGTGAGTTTCAGCATGTTGGTCTGAGCCTTGTGGTCAGGAGAGCATCAACATGGAGAAATTCCCCGCTACCTCGCATGGAAACGATAACAAACTTCTAACTTTTATGCGATGATTGCATAACTTCACATCCGGTCCAGATGGCTAAATGACATGGTAGAATTCTGGTCCGATGAAAAATCCAGACTAGTACAAAGCCAAAAAAATGCGACAATTGAATGCCTGTGGTGGCTCTGTTGCACTCCACAGTTGTGTGTTGTATATCGTTGTGTTCAGGGTCATAGCTGTATTACATGAATCATTTGAGCATCAGCGGTATAACCATTTGCCTAAAAAAGACTCATATATATTCAACTTTACGGCGCCCCAGTGGTCAGGGTGGGGTCGTACAACTTTTGGCGTAATGTTATGTTATTGCTCGTCTCGGTTCCCAGAGAAATACACTCAGCGATTTTCGGGTACGATCAGAGCACAAGAGCCACTATTACTTTCCGACAGGTGGCGCTAAAGAGCTCAAATTGGGCGAATGATTTAGTGTCATTCGTTCAGCCATACCTAATATTACTGATGTGAGTCTAGCTCGGTAGGTCTGAGACTGTGGCCCTCTGGGGTCTCAGCGAAAATGGCCAACCGAAGGCCTTATTTCGCCATGGCGGATGGGGACAAAACAGTGAAGATTTTTAACTTTTTTTCGAGATTATCTCAACTTAAATCCGTCCAGATAGGGAAATGACGTACTGGCTAGAAACTGTGTGTGATGAAAAACCGAGGGACTAGTTCGAATTTCTTAATGAAAAGTCAACTTAGTGGCGAAAACTTTGGGCCCATCAGGACCGACTTCCTGTTCGGTCCCAGACATGTGGTTAGACGGCTTTTATGCTCGTCTCCAGAGACTCTTCACTCATTCCGAAGTGGTTTATTATACTACTCAAAATTTGTGAAAAATAATCCCCAGAGGGTCACAAAAAAAATGAAATTTCTAGGGGGCGTTATAGAGGCGGCGGAGGGCGGTGGACAATCTTGGAACGTTATTTTTATCAAATTTTCGACGAACGGGTGTTTTAGGGACCCCCATGTGCAGTCTTTCGTGCATGTCTCTCAGGGGTCAAAAATCGAATTGAAGTAGCGGAAAAAAAATAAGAAAAGAATAATAATTAAAGCCGCAAGCGGCGATGAAAGGGCTCGCCCTCTTGGCGGACGCCTCCGGGCGCCGGTCCCTACAAGCGTCACGCCGACGGAAAATTGGCAGCCCAGATCTGAACAGGATTACGTATATTAAAAGCTCAATTATCTGATAAGTGCGTTCCCTAGTGGTCGACTCCGGGGACATGCAACCTCTACGTAGAGTGTATTTTGCTCGTACAGTTGTAAAGATTTGATTTTGCAACTTTGGTGAAGCTCGGAAAAAAAGTTTAGGTCAGAAGCCTTTCAATAGTGGCCGCTGTAGGTCATATTAGGTGTGTGTTTCACACCATTTCTCTCATGCCTAATACCAACTTATAGCGATGTGAGTTCTGCTGGTATGTCTGAGCCTTGGTCAGGTGGAGCGCATCCAAACCTGGAGAAATTCCCCACTTTACCTCGCATGAAAACGATAACAAAATTCTAACTTTATGCGATTGAATATATTAACTTCAATCGTCCAGATGGTGAAATGACATGGTAGAGACGTCCTGAGCGATTGGAAAATCCCAGGGACTTAGTACGAAGCCAACAATGCGACACAATTGAACTGCCTGTAGGTGGCGCTGTAGCCACACACAGGTTCAGGGTGAATGTTGATTCATTTATTATATCGTGTGGTGTGGGTTGCTTAATGTAATTTTTTACGGTTCGATTACCGAGCACTGTGCCCTATTACAAAGTGGTTGTCGGGTTGTCTTTGCACGGACTTGATGGTGCCTCTTGGCGTAGAGGGATGGTCATCATCGACATTGGGACAACCGCACACGAAAACAAAGCCGATGTGCGAGCCGGCGGAGAAGACAGTCAGCAGGGGAAGGGGTCTAACGAAAGTGCCGGGTAAGTGAACCGGAGCCAGCGCGAAAGAGAGGGCATAGATAACCAGAAGAAGATGACCAACCGCGTAATCGACAACAAATACAAGAGGGAAGCGGTTAGGACAGCACGCAGGCAATATGAGCGGGGCGCAATCCACAGTGTAGCACCGAAGCGAACCACCGAGCGAAAACCAGTAACACTAGAACCGAGATAGCGACACACACAGCCGAGAGGCAATCACCCACGAGTCAGTACTAACGAAGGGGAGACAACGCCCGCGGAAGGCCGAGAGGCGAATCGCCCCACCTGCCGACCTACACAGGAAACGGGTACAGCGTATCCACTCCCACAGGGATGCCATGGCAGACAGACTCAGTTGCCGCTCTAAGTGAGGCAAAAGTCGGCGGATGTTGGCCTGGTAGTCCGCGTTCGGCAATGTTCGCCATTGATCAGGGGGAGAGGCGGGTTGACTCCGAGATGGGACGAGCGGAGACAGAGGTTGGGCAGGCGGATGTGTGTTTCGTTGGCCAGCGAGGGCGCCGTCTTGTGGGGGGTCACGGGGCCACAAACATGCGAGTAAAAAGCAACATACGGGGCACATAGCATAGGCCAACAAGCTCAAACGAACTAACAGCACCAACAAGGGGGGAGAGGTAACGGAGATGCATTAGCGAAGAACACCAAATAAGATGAAACAAAAAGAGGGCAGCATACAGCAAGAGAAGTGAAAAACAATGAGAGGGAAGCAGCACAGCTAAAAGTCAAGTGGAGAGAGAAGCATCTGGTAGAGGAGGACAAGCGAAAGCGGCAAGAAATTCATTAACCCAGCCGACGAGGGGGAGGGCGGGGGGCAATTATACACAAGCGTAAGGAACCCCACACCCCCTCACCCCACCGGGATGACTGATGATAAAAAAGTGAATTGAAATAGGTTAAACACGGGGCAGATGACCGACAGAGCGTGAGGCGAGATAGCCATACACCCCCAACCCACATACCAAATGCTACCTGTCCAGAAAAGAGCTCAGTGCTTCGGTAGATGACCTTGCGAGTGCATACAGGTCGAGGGCGCTTGAAGGACGATGTAGTGAGGAGTCCTGAACAACCCTCAACTCGAGTTGGCCGTGCCCCCCCTCGCGGGTCCCCGCGGTGAGCTGCTAAGGTCTCGACGCAGAAGGGTTGCGTGGCCCCATGCGAAGGGGGGGGGGCCGTAAAAGTATTCGTGAGGACACTCCTGAAGCGTGCGGGGTGGGAGGCGAGTGCCAAAAAAACGAGAGTGAACAGGAAGGCCGGAGTCTTTTCGTATAGGACGCCTACGTTGAAGGATGGCGGCCTGAGTCAAGCGGGAGGGCCCCCCTGCAGAGTGCTTGGCAGTGAGGCACCCGTGGACCACCTGTCGTTGGAGGGCTGTAGAGGCCGGGATCACAGCGTGGTGGGCGGAACAGACCTGTCAGGCTGGTGATGCCTGCAGGTAAGAGCAGATAGGGTCCTGTGGCAACGAGTACACCGGGTCGGTGTCAGCACCCCCGTCATTCTGTCTTAGATTCTATACTTCGCCTAGCTGACGGGAGCTCTATGCATCCTGGTAACTGGAGGTGGATTTCGTGACTTTGCGTGCCCTTCCTTTTTCTCCGCTCGATGCTTTCCCGCAGCCCTCTTCCCGGCTCTTACTTCCTTCCTCGGCATCCTCCCTCCTGCTCTGACCTTGCAGAGCTCTGTACGTGACACGTTTACATTGAGACGAAGGAGGGGGGAAAGGCAGGCCAAGTGAACGAGCCACCCGGTAGGTCAAGAAAAGGAAAAACAGGGCCCACGCAGGACGCATAGTATAGGGGTCAAGACGCAACAGGGGGCGCGAAACTGTGAGCACTTTTGGAATGTCGCAGGTGTCGAACTTCCGGAGGGGGAGGTAGGACAGTTGGAGGGTACTGGAGCTTGAGCTCATCCATACAATCTACTAAGGGCAACACAACACATCCATACAAGAGAAGTAGGAAACGAAAAAGGAAGGAATAGCCCACCACAGAGCTGTAATCGGAATAGGCAGAATCTGTCAGGACCTGCGAACACAGGAGGTGCTCGATACTGCCAAGGGGCTACCGGCATGTAGTCCTCCCCTGTCTCTGAGAGCCGGGAGCTCGCCAAACGGCGTGGCCGGCGACAACATCGCTATGTCGCCAAAGGGTCGAGAACCGGGCCCCCCCCGGACCCCTAAACAGGTGATCTCTGAAGCGACCGCTCAGATACCACCCCTATCCTGACTCCGGGCGGTCGAGAAGAGATTAGTACCAGGAAGACAAAGTCGTACAGACCAGGAAGAACCCTGGGCGCGCCACCTGGAGGACCGAAGGCAGGAGACTCAACCCATAGGGGTGGCGTAAGTTGGATGTCGGGGCACGGGTCAGGGTTGCGGCGGAGGGACAATCAGCTCCGGCTTGGGGAGCAGTCCGTGGAAGCCCGGCCTGGGTATAGCCCGCGATTCAAGGAACATCGGCCACAGCATAAAACCCCAAATTGTGAGCAACCCGTGGGGGCGTCACCAACCTGCACCGTGACGGGCGAAGAAAAAGGCAAAAAGTCACGAGAACAAAAAGGAAGGAACAGAGAGACATCCAAGAAAAAGAGCAAGAGACACTAGTAATGAGAAGGACGGGAGGAAGGGGACAATAAAAACGGGATAGCAGCATGCGTCAGGGAAAGGGCGACCCAGTAAAAGTTAAAGGAGGAAGTATATTACCATCGAGCGTTAGGTGACCAGGTGACTCGCGGGTTGGAGCGACAAAGATACAAGAGCGCAGTGGACGATGACGGGAGCCACACAGCGCAGCACGACTCGTTAGCAACGAAAACAAGGCCATAGACAAACACTCTCAAGGAAAGGTTAAGACACGCAGCAAGAGGGGAGAGGGACACGTAGGAAGAGACGGGCAAGATGTAGAGTAACGAGGGTAGTGGTCGCGTCGAGAGGAATCGTCGGGGTGGACAGGTTAGGTGAAGGAGGGGATGCGTTATGAGATTACGAGAGACACGGGAGGAGCGGGGAATAGGAGTGCAAACGTGCAAAAGCCATAACTCACTGGGATTAGGCAGGTGGCACAGAGAAAGAAGGAAGAACATGGGAGGCAAACCAGAGGGCAGTGAGAGGTAGCAGGGAGAGAGTGATAGGGGTCAAGAAGAGCGGGTTTGTCAAGGTGCGGTCAGAAAGGAGAGAACAATTATGCGGAAAAAAAAGACAAGCGAGAAGAGACGAGTTAAGGCAACTCAAAAAAAAAAAACAAACACAAACACAGCACGAGAATCATTTAAATTGAACTATAACATCGGGGGGAAACACAACCCCAACACCCTACCCTACGGATCTCAGGACGAGGCGGGAAAGCGGGGGAGGAGGAGGGAGGGAGGCAAAACGAAAAGAAACTGGAGAAGCCTTAACGACAGCAACCCAACTCAAGGGTAGGCCGGGCTGGTTCGGTACAACCAGAGCACAAACCGACACAGTAATAAGCGCGGGGGCGGGGGGCGAGGAACGTACGCGGCCAGGCCTGGATCGTGAAAGGGGGGACCCCAGTTGTGGGGGGGGGGGAGTCGCAGAAGTGCCGGGGGCGATGCGCTTGAACGAGGCTTTGTACTGGCACCGATCTTCACCTCTGCCCCTGCGGAGGGTTTCAGAGGCTCCGCGGTGCGCTGGGCTTCGTGGTCGAACGGCGGAGACACCCGCCAGGGTAGGGAGGCGGTAGGTAACGGGGGCAGGGCGGGCAGAAAACGGAGAAAAGAACACCGGGGCGGGGCGACGTAAGCAACGGCTTGGAGCGGAGGACAAAAGTCTGGCAGGGGCGGAAAAGACATGATGCAACCACGAGGAACTGAAACATACAAGAAGCCTAACTCAACCGAACAAAAAACCAGACAGCGAAAACGCGAAAGATCCGGCGACACCCAAAGTCAACGTCCTCACCTGGTGCCCCCGAGATCCACACAAAGCCAAACACTCGAACTTCCCGACACATTATGCTGCCAGCTCCGGACATCACGGATCAACCGCTCACCAGGCATGGGACCGCGCCTTACGTACCCTGGTAGCTACGTAGCGCCTCCCACACCGAATCGGTGAGTAACGCTGGTTGGACAACGCGAGGACTAATGCAATCAAATGAAATTCACCCGTCGACGTGGGCTTGGTCCAGGGGGAGGGAGGTGCCAGTAAGAAAACTGGAGACAGTAGACATGCAACCCGCCCACGCCCCAGAAGAACGGATTGCCACAACCGAACACACGCACCACCGGTAGGTTTGAGGGATAACCGATTGACGAGGCAGCCCCTCGCCCATGCACAACACAGGCACACCACTGAAGAAACCGAACGGTCCACCGCTCACGATCTACAGTGACGGATGCCACATTGTCCCCGCAAGCCCTCGCAAAAAACCCGAGCAATAACCAGTGCCCCCACACCCACCCACAACAGAATAAAGCTAAGGACTGGTTCCGCGACTTGGGGAAAGTGTGAGGGAGGGGACCGCCGTCAGCCGCGGGGTCCGGGGGGAGTGAGGGTGGGGCACCGGGCGGGCAGCGGGGCCCACACGGGCCCCGCAGACACTTGCCCCGTATCATACCTATTCGGCACCTTGGGGTTGATCCCGGAGAACCAACGGCGCTGGTCAACGTGAGAGTGGTTAACTACTACAACGGCGGGACTCGGAGCATGACGTACCCGGCTGCCACCCGCAGGGGACCGGATAAGGTAGTACCGAGCCAACCCCAGACCTCGCGGACTCAAGTGGCTCCGGGACCTGGGACCGCGCCGTTGGGGGGCAGAGTCAAGGGGATTCTCCTCATCAGATCGGAGGGGTACTCATCCCCAGCCGAAAGTGAGACCAGGGAGCAGGAAACAAGGGCAAAATGCGTGGAACACAAAAGAAGTTATGGCCAAAAGGAGGAACAAAGGCCAAGAGCAAGAAGGAACACGCAAAAAAGGATAATGTCCGAGAATTCGAGTGGCATGATTGGGGGGCGTGCACTGGGAAAAAAGATGAACGTGCAGGGCAGGGGGGGGTCTCGCGCGAATACGGCGAGGAACATAAATCAAGGCAGACCACACAGACATGGGTACAGTACACGACTATCGCCCTCGACGAGGGAACGGTCTCGCAAGAGAGCAGGCAACAAGGGACCGGGCGAAGGGATAGCAATAGAAAGTGACGAAGAATGCCGAGCCAAATCAGGGAGCTGCGACGGAATAAGGAGAGCTTGGGGGGGGAGGTGGGGCAGAGGCGTGACATGGCCTAAACGCTCACACGGCGTGCCCGCTATCCAAATGCATTATACGGAATGTAGGGCGCAGCTGGGCAGACTGAAAACAGGCACATTTACCCCGGATTCCCACGCGAAAGGCAGGAAGAGAAACCTGATCCCGACTACAACGGGATAGGACACATTGGCAAGGAACCACATGACACACACCGAACAGTGAGCGGGGGGAGTCAAGGACAACGGACAGGGAACCGGACGACGGGGCACCCGGCGCGGCCAGTGGGCAGGCACCGGGACCGTGGCCCGGGGGCGGTGGCGGGAAGGGCGGGGAGTCAGTGTTGAACGGTGACAATTCTGCGCGGGAAGAAAAACGCATACCGTAGCATGGGAGCCTGACAGCGCTCCACCTACTGTCCAAAATAGCAGGGTGGAGCTGTGGCGGCACGCGAAGCGAACACAACCGATCGCAGAGCCACTGGTAACCGATGCTATCAGTTGTCTCTCCCGCCCCCTTCCCACACCTGCAAGTACATCTCATTTCTCTCTCCCGACGACAGCTCTCACCGCCTCCTCGCCCCCCCCCTTCCTTCTCTCCGTTCCCCCCCCCTTTCTCCTCCCCCTCCCCCCCCCTCAACATTATTCTACCTCTGTCTCCTGTCCCCCCTCCCCTCCCATTCCCCCCTTCTTTCTCCCCCCTTTTTCTTTCTTTCATCCCGCCCCTCTCCTGCCTCTTACTGGGTCTCCGCTTTTTTTCTGGTCCCCCTCCTCTCCCCCCCACCACACTTCGTCCCTCTTGCCTTCTTCTTCGACCGCAGTTCTTTTTTCTCTTATTTCCTTTTCCTTGTTCCTTACCTCCCCTCTCTTCTTTACTCATCTGTCCTACTGTCCCCGGGTCGTCTTGGGGTGGGGGGGCTTCTCGGTTCTGGTACTAGGCCGCGGTGTCCCGGGTCTTGGAGGCGGTTTCTTCTGGCCTCGGCCCCGGGCTGTCTGTGGTGCCTGGCGGCGGGGGGGCCCGGGGCCGAACCATCGACACGGGAAGTTTTCTCATGTCGGGGCGGTGGGATGGGAGTTGGTTCGACCACCACCGCAAAGAATTCCGCACCCACACCCCCCGCCCCCGGTCCCTGCCCCCAACGCCAACCACAAACTTACATACGAGCACGGCTATACAAGCATCATCTCGATGGCCGTCCAAACTAGGACCGGTTTTGGAAATCTTCCTCCGGGGCTTGATTGCGGGGTATTTCCCTAATGGTGTTACCGGCATGTGTTCATAACTCTCCGATCGTACCCGGTAAGGCCGGGTTCCTAAACCCGGTGTGGTTGGTGGCTTCCACCGTTGGTTGGCTTGGAAGGTATTGGGGCGCATGGCTGGCCTGTTGGGGGCTTGGGGCGGTTGGTCCCAGGGGCCCGGGGGTTAAGGGGAGGGAACACGCGAACCACGGAGGATAAGGGGGGGGGCGTGGGGCGTGCCGGAGGATGAAGACCTGGACACGGCCTTGCGGTTAGAGATGTCGTGGGGGTGAGTCGCTCGGTGAGCGGGGGAGTAGCCCGGGGGTGCCTGGGGTGGTGGGGGTGCCCGGGGGGCAGATCCACGCCGGGGTGGGGAGGCGGGGTTGTCGGCGAGGTGAGGGGGAGGGCGGGGTGGCCGGGGGAAGGGGGCCGGCAAGACCGCAACGCAAAACAGATAAACCCGGGGGCTGCATGGGGCTGGGGAGGGTCAGCAGAAAGTGGCCCGTTTGGGGGAAGTGTGGACGGCGAGGGAGATACACGGGGGCCATCTGAGTGGATGGCCGCTGTGGCGAAACAGTCAACAAGGAAAGAGATATCCTTGTAGGCAAGTTCACTCGAAACAGTATGCACAAAAACTCGGATAAAAGGTCGCGTAGATCAAGTTGGCGACGGGGGAAGCGGTTGATAGCAGGTGGAGGGATAGGCTGCACAGTAGAGCCAGGACGACGACATCAAGTGAAGCAACTGTAATCAAGAGCAGAACAGCCGGGAGACAACAAGGACGGGGCTAAGGACCAGCCTCGGATAAGGTGTGGATGTAGGAAACGGGTGTAGATGTTGGGCTGAAGGCGGTGAGGAAGTTGTTAACAAAAAAAAACGGGGGGGGAAGAAGATCGACGATTGAAAAAGGGGGGGGGGATTGGGGGGATAAACATTAAAGCCGCTCATCGGAAACAGTAGACGCCGGGCGACCCATGTCAGGCGCGTGGCCCCACCCCCACGCACGCGTATAACAGCTGCGCTTACACTGGTGTAATAGGGCAGAATGATGCCGCTCCCTCAAACCGGGGCATCTGTCTTTCCTCCTGGGGGTAGGTCTGCCGGGCGGGGGTACGGCGGGGGGGGCGGGGCGCGTGGACGAAGGTATGCAAACATCTAAGCCGCGGGAGAGAAGAAAAAAGGAAGAAGAAATCAGAAAAAAACAAGAGCAAGCCAAAAAAAAACAAAGAGTACACACACCCAGGAGGATACAGCACCAAGTGAAAAAGGACAACGCCCAAGGGCTCAACGCAAACGTCGGCCGCACCAAACGACCCCGGTCACCCACCCCCCCTTGCCACAAACCGCCCCCCCTCCACACTCAGGGCACACCGCGAGAGCGAAGGCCTAAACACCAACGGAACAACAGAGGGGGAACCCAGCATGATCAAAAGACGGGAGAAACCACACGCGCATAGGCCGGGGGGACGCAGGACAAGCCATAAACCCGGGTCGTGGATCACCTAAGGGTAGCTGCTGGCGCGGCGGACGCATCGGCGCGGACTGGGCAACGCATTATATATGGCCACCCCTCTCGTGCGGTGATAAAGGAAACAGGAGGAAGGATTGTCGCGGAATGGTCTGCCTTTGCGGCCCCGACCGGGGGCCAAGGGCCCTCTGTGCTTTGGCCGAGTACTGGCCGAACGGGCCGGGGGAGGAGTTACGCCTCGCAACGTGGGGGGGGGGAAGGGGAGGTCCCAAAAAAAGGACGAAGAACGAGGAGAGCAAGGGCAAACCGGGCGCACCGGGTTGCCCAAAAGACCACGAAACACAACCCAAACAAGGGTAGGAAGAGAACTGAGACCCACACGGTGTGTGTGTGTTTATTTGAGGGCTGGCGGGCGCAAGGGCGGTCAGGACGCGAGGCACTGGGGCAGTCGCCCCTTTGGGTTTGTGTTTTGTTTTTTCACCCCTTTCTTCTCCCCCCCCCATTGTTCTGCGCGTCCTGAACTCCTCGTGGCAACACTCCCGAATCGGTCAGTTGCCTCACTGTTGGCGGGTCTTGGGGTGTCTCATGACTGAGACCGGTTGGGTTTCGCGTCCCCCGTGGCTGTGCTGATTGTGTGCCTTCAACCGCATTTGTCTCCCCTCGCAACATTCACAGGCCTTCACACTCGTAGTTCGGGCCTACATTACGGTGGGTGCTCTGGGCACGGGCAGTGCGGGACAGTAGGGTTTTCCAGGTGGCGAAACACAAATGGACCTGGGATCTACATTCACACTTGATGTTTCGCTGGGTGGACGAAGGGTCACCTTGAGGGGTCGCCGAGATAGCAAGATGCGGAGAGTGTTGCGATGTGGCGACGACCAAGTCCGAGGACACGCGGGTATGGATACCGTGTGAGTTCCCCTTGTCCCACGTACACTTTCTCTCCCTCTTCGATCCCACGTAATCGACAGCCCCACTTCGCTGAAGTCCATTCTTACGCTTGTGGTTGAAAGAACCAGCAGCCCCTGGCGCGGCGTGCCCCATCCTCGCTGCCAGCGTCCGTCCCTGCCCCCCGCCCCCGACTCCACTCCACCCGCCCAACCCCCCTCCCCTCTGCTGGTACCTGCAGCATCTGGGGTGTGAGTACGAAGTGGTGACTTAGACGAGCTGCCCAACAAGTATATAAGTCGGGACAGTTGGCTTCTTTCTGTAACCAGTGGCCGCATCTATTCCCCGGGCATTGTGGGCGGGTGGCCGAACGCGCCCCTACAGGTTTTTTTTGTTTTTTATTCGTCTGGGCTCTCCATCATGGTAGCGCGCTGGGATGAGGCAGTGTCTTGGTCGACTGTGGCGGGCGGACCGTGGGGCGTACGGGCGGCAAAACACTCGCTGATTAAAGTTGTACATAAAACAGATCTCTGTGTACTTCAACCTCCTATGTCCTAGCCTCGACCACCCCATCAGGCTTCTCTATGGGTGCCTACCATGCCACCACCACCACCCGCGATGGCGGAGACAAGAGGTTCTTCTCTGGGGCGTTTGTGGGCTATGATGATGGTTGGGGATTCTTATGTGAGAGAGTGATCGTGGAGAGTTACGGGTGGGTTGAGCTGGGTCGCTCATATAATGTAAGGGTTATTGGTGTTGTTTACCACTGTGCTTCTGTGTGTCGTCTTGTGCTGCAACAAAAAAAGATATACGCTTATCAACTCCCGTCAGAGAGAGTTTGGGTGGTCATACACTAAAAACTGCTCACGCCTTATTTTAAATGTCCTCTTTTCTCTTGCACACGCCAGGTTTAGAGTTTTTTTAGCCCCGGAGAATTTGAAAAGGAAAAACGCTATATTTTTTTTTTTTGGCCCAAATCCTTTCGGTAGGCCAGGAGATGCAGTGTGAAGCATAGGCAGAGCGAGCCTCCCCAGCCAGGAATACTCCTTTGGTCCAGTCACACGTCTGAGGGGACAATCCACTTCCGTCACACAGGCGGGAGATCCTGGTCAGGGACGGGTCCCTTCCCCGAGAAGAAGAGAGCCAGAAGAGTACCAGAGTGCGATTCCCTTAGTGGGGCCTGTCAGGGTGAGAGGGGTCAGTCACACTCGGTCCTCCAGCGTGGGGTGCGTTCAGCACCCAGGTTCTGGGGGGACCAAGGCGGTGGGTCCGGGTAGGGGTCAGACCCCTCTGAAGCTAAGACAGGGCAGGGCGCGGGGCTGGATTTGTGCTGGGATGGGGAACGGGGGGAGGACCCTGGGAAGCAGGTTTTGCCACAGTGGGGCGGTATGGCGCGCCAAAACTGTGGTTGTTGTTTTGGGGTCCCTTAGGCCATGACACTTCCCCCACATTTAGAGTGATGTTGGTTTTTGTTTGTTCTCCGGGTTTTTCTAGCTTGTCGTTATGTGTGTGGTGTGAGATGGTTGGTGGGTGCGTGGTGGGTGGGAGGGGGCCGTTGGCACTGGATACTATTATGGTTTCTGTCTCGCCTTCTGTCAGTGTGCCCAGGGCAGCTATGGGTACTGTAGGATTGTAGGTAGTGGATCCCCAACTGTGTTTTGGAGAAGGGTGTGACGTGGGTGATTGGTGAGTAGTATGGACAATAGAGTTGCATTGGGGTGAGGATTGGAGGGGTTTGTAGTGTTATGTTTAAATATTTTTTTTATTTTTATACTGGTAGTTGGGTGTATAATCCAATGTGCTTTTTGTTGGTGGTGACGCTTTAGTGTGGATTGTGGGGGGTTCTGCATGTTCGGCAGAGGATGAGAGGGGTTGGAGGAGGAGTGGGGGGTAGGGTTATGAGGAGGGGGGTATAAGAAGTGTATAATAGGTGTTTGGGCATCAAAACGGAAAAAACAGGTAAAAACCCAGAAATGAAGCGTGTTTGTTGTTTGTGATGTGTGGGTTTCTGTGTTATTGTTATGGTCAGAGTGAAGTTTGCGTGTCGCGGCTGTGGTTTTTCCAGGAGCGGTCGGTGTGGACCCTGGTGGGTTTTGTTTTCATCGGTGAATTCTGACACTGTGCGTTTTTGGACGCGTTCGTGAATCACAGAGAATACTATTGTGGGATATGGTATAGATAAGTTTTGTGATATGATATTGTGTTTTGGTGTTGGGATTGACGCTACAGCGGTGCTTGGTGGTGACCCTTTCACTTAATAATGGGTGGATTTTATTATTTTGGGACTGTTTTTGGACCTTTTGCGTACGGTGCCTTGGGATGTGTTTTTGTCCTGTTGGTGTTTTCTGTTCACCGCTGCCGTGTGTATTGGCTTGAGAAGGGGGGGTTGACGATGAGGGCAGCGAGGACGTGAGGGAGGGGGGGGAGTGGATGAAGGCCGGGGGAGGCGTGCGCTGAGGTGGAGGCGGGAGGGAGGAGGGGGAGGCAGGGAGGGGAGGAGGGCGGAGGCGGAGCGCGGGAGAGGAGGGGGGGGCGGGGAGGCAGAGGAACGGAGGAGGAGATAGGAAGGCGAAAGGGGAGGAGGGAGAGAGGGCATAAGAAACGAGGGGAAGCAAGGAAGGGGGAGAGGAGGAGGGAGGAGGCAAAGGGAGAGTGGGAGTCGAGGGGAAAGGACGGAGGAGGGCGGAGGGAGAAGGCGTGGGATGGAGGAGAAAGGGGGAGGGGAGGAGGGTAGGGAGGAGAGGGGAAATGATGAAGGAAGGGCATTAAGAGGGGAGGTAGGGATGGAGGAGGGTGAGGATGAGATGGAGGAGAGGAGGAGGAGGTAGGAGATGCGTGAAGGAGGACGGGAAGGAGGGCGAGAAGGATGGAGGAAGGAGGAGTGGGAGGAGGAGGGAGGAGGAGGTGGAGAGCGGAGGCAGGAGGGCGGATAGGAGGCGGAGGAGGAGGAGGAGGCGAGAGGAGAGGACGGTGGAGGAGGAGGAGGGGAAGGGGAGGGAGAGGAGGAGATAGGAGAGGGAGTGAGTGAGGGAGGAGGAAGGAGAGGGAGTAGGAGAGAGGTAGAGGGGAGGAGGGGGAGAGGGGAGGGGGAGAGAGGAGGGGGAGGAGAGAGGGGCGGAGAGGAGGGGGAGAGGGGGAGGAGAGCGGAGGAGGGGGAGGAGGAGGAGGAGGATGAGGAGGGAGGGGGGGAGGGGGCAGGGAGAGGAGGGGAGGAGGAGGGAGGAGAGGGAGGGAAGGAGTGAGGGAGGGGAAGAGGAGGGAGGGGAGGAGGAGGGAGGAAGGAGTGGGGGGGGGATGGAGGGAGGAAGGAGTGCGGGAAGCCAGAGAGAAGTGAGGGAGGAGGGAGGAGGGGAGAAGAGGAAGGGAGGGGAGTGAGGGAGGGAGGGAGGGAGGAGGAGGAGGGGTGAGAGGAGGGGAGGAGGGGAGGAGGAGAGGAGAGGAGGAGGAGGGAGGGAGGGGGAGGAGCGAGGAGGCGGTCAGTGAGGCGGAAGAGGAGGAAGGAGGCGGAGGAGGAGCGAGCGGAGGAGAGTGAGGGAGGAGGGGAAGTGAGTGCGTTGACGGCGGGGGTAGTGTCGGCCTGGAGGAGGCGGAGGCCGGCGGACGGCGATCGGCGTGTCGGCGCTCGCAGGTCTTTCCTTCTTCTCTGCTGTCGTTATTCTGTCTTCTTCTTCTTTCTTCTTCTTCTTCTTCTTCTTCTTCTTCTTTTCTATCTTTCTTATCTCTTCTTCTTCTTCTTCTTCTTCTTCTTTTCGTATCTTCTTCTTCTTCTTTTCTTCGCCTGTTTCTTTTCTTCTTCGTCTTCTTCTTCGTTCTTCTTCTTCTTCTCTTCTTCTTCCTTCTTCTTCTTCTCATTCTTCTTCTTCTTCTTCTTCTTCTTCTTTTCTTCTTCTTCTTCTCTTCTTATTTCTTCTTCTTCTTCTTCTTCTTCTTCTTCTTCTTCTTCTTCTTCTTCTTCTTCTTCTTCTTCTTCTTCTTCTTCTTCTTCTTCTTCTTCTTCTTCTTCTTCTTCTTCTTCTTCTTCTTCTTCTTCTTCTTCTTCTTCTTCTTCGTTCTCAGTTTTTACGTAACTCAGTCTCCTTCATTATTAATGAGTCGACTCCAAACACAGCGTCCCAGGACAAAACAGAGGAACCGTCTGAGTGTTTGTTTGTTAGACACATTAGAACGAGACACTGCTGTTTCACTGTCTCAGGTCTCGCTCTGGTCTCTCTCTAGTCTCTCTCTGGTCTCTGCTCTCTCTTTTGTCTCTCTGGTCTTTCTCTGGTCTCTCTCTGGTCTCTCTCTGATCTCTCTCTCTGGTCCTTCTCTGGTCTCTCTCTGGTCCCTGTCAGACCACAACAATAGAACTCAGTCCATGTCACTCGCACCTGGTTCTTAATCATCTGTTGAAAACCTTACATTTAATAATAATAACAATGGATGTTTGTTGTTGAGTTCTGTTGTTGTGGTCTGAAAGTTAGGTACCCGAGCTTTAAAGCCTCATCAGTGTCTGTGTCAGTGGAGTTTGTCAGACACATAACAGCAGCTGAACCCAGAGCTGTTGGAGCATCAAAAATAACATCAATTATTCAGAGCGGCTTCTTCTGCTGTCGGGACCAGAGCGAGACCAGAGAGAAAGAGACCAGAGAGAGAGAGACCAGAGCGGGACGCAGACTGACACCTCGGTAATTAGACTTTACAGAAGTTTACAGACGGAAAACTGAGAAAAACTGTGGACCGGAAGCTCTGAAGAGACTGAAGCTGAAGGACAAGTCTGACGGCCGTTTATAGGGCTGGGCCATATAAACGGTATAAGTGGTATGCAATATTAACTTGGCCAACGGTAGATTTTGTTGTTATACCGGAATATTGCGGTAGGTCATTATGTCATCAAACTGCCGGGTTGCACGTGACGAAAGTGCTCCGAGGGACAGGAAGTACATTTCCCCACTAAGAACAATGTAAACATTCACTGATTCCGAGTTAAAATGCTCTTTTTCTGGGGCGTGTACAGTTGTACAGTTGTTCTGGGGCGATAGTAGCTCAGTTGGTAGAGCATTGGCCTTAAGGCCAGAAGGTCGTGGGTTCAATTCCCACCTCTGCACCTTCTCCACCGACTCCCACTGATGACTGCTGTCGTTGTGTCCTTGGGCAAGACACTTAACCCCACTTTGCCCAAAGCCCCCACTGAAAGATTAAGGCTATGCTCACACTCAGAGAGCAGCCGTCCTCCTGTGGACTCACCACCTGCAGAGGGTCAGTGAGGGGCTGGTGCTATGAGACTTGGGTGGCATCTCTGATTGCCACCCCCCTGACCCAGAAATGGATTAAAGGGTAGAAAAAATGGATGGTGTACAGTTGTGGTAACTGCTCTTATTATATGACTTGGACCGTACGTGCGCTCTGATTGGCTGATTACCGTTCTGATATTTTCCCATCTCGGACCGTTACCATGACAATCTGTCCGCAGCGCGTATCACACAAAACCAAGTCGGACATGAACATACTTCACAAATATCTCAAATGCATTGGTAAAGACACAGACGAGAGTCATATAATAAAACATTTATTAAACTCGCTTGCTCGGTCTGTGCAGAGAAATATCAGACCTCTGCTACACTCCACTTTGCTAAAAAAATATTTCTCTAACGTGTGTCAATTTTTAGGTAAATGCCTAAAAAGGAACGGGAGAAATGCGCTCGCATTAGCATTAGCTTGCGTAGCATCTGCGGCCACAGACACAGCTGACAGTTTTTGTGTGGTATACGGTTGTAGTAACAGAGGCAACAGAAAGAAAGAACTGTTAGGGGGAGCTCCGTACTTTTTGTCCAAACTTTTTTTGTTGTTTACAGCTCAACAAATCACCGAAATGACAATAAAGGGTCAGATTTCTTGCTTCAAATTTTGTCTAAAGTAACATTTTGTGCCATATTTATTGTGTTATTGATCAGAACTATCTAAGACGTGTTTCTGTTGATCCCTGTTCACTATAACAGCCTTAATCTTTCTCATTGTTTAAACAAATGGACTCATTCAAACTCTACAAAGCATACGCTGCATTAAAATAGTTTTCACTCTTAATAAGAGTGAAACTAAGCCGCGAAAAGCTCCTATGTCTGCGTTTTCCAGCATTGCCCATTCTATTTAATAGGAGAAAAAATACTTCCTGTCCTAGGGACCCATGCCCCGCCCCCTTTTGGTCATGTGGTTGAAACCCAGCAATGCTGATTGGAAGTTAAAGTTTAATAATGTTCTCTATGATTGTAGTTTTACACAATACATTTAAATAAGTAACAATCTTGACTATTTCATTCAAGAACCTGCTAGACCTATATTGAAATCCACACACCAAATTATACCGCAATATATACCGCCTACCGTCTGTGTCCCAAATCATACCGCAATATGAATTTTAGGCCATATCGCCCACCCCTAGATCTAAAAATTAACCACTATAAGATAAATCCTCTCAGTAGCAGCTGTAAAACTTTATATACCAACCACAAACTCATCACTGATGAAGAGAGAGACTAGAGAGAGAGAGAGAGACCACAGAGAGAGACTGGAGAGAGAAAGACCAGAGAGAGAGCTACCAGAGAGAGACTAGAGAGAGACTAGAGAGAGACTAGAGAGAGACCAGAGAGAGAGACCAAAGAGAGAGACCAGAGAGAGACCAGAGAGAGACTAGAGAGAGACTAGAGAGAGACCAGAGAGAGAGACCAAAGAGAGAGACCAGAGAGAGACCAGAGAGAAAGATACCACAGAGAGACCAGTGAGAGAGACCACAGAGAGAGATACCACAGAGAGAGAGACCAGAGAGAGAGACCAAAGAAAGAGACCTGAGAGAGACCCAAGAGAGACCAGAGAGAGACCCGAGAGAGACCCAAGAGAGACCCGAGAGAGACCCGAGAGAGACCAGAGAGAGACCAAAGAGAGACCAGAGAGAGACCCGAGAGAGACCCGAGAGAGACCCGAGAGAGACCCGAGAGAGACCCGAGAGAGACCCGAGAGAGACCAGAGAGAGACCAGAGGAATATCTTAAAGTAGATTGAATTTATTAGAAACTTAGTCAGATTTGTTGCAAAAATGTCTGGTTTTCAGAGAGAAGATAAATCCCTGTCTACCATGCATGAATGTGCAAATGAATGAACCAAAGAGTTTGAGAGAGCAGAGTGAGCTGCTCCAGGATCCACTTTTAGAAACAGGAAGTGGACTTTTCAGCGGCCAAACCTCGTCTCCGCCGTAGTGGAAGTGGAGAGTAGAGTCCTGTGTTGTGATTGGCCGATATAACGGTTGTAATCTCGCACCATCTGTTCTGCGATGTTGTTCAGCTTCAGAACATAGAACCGATACTAAACCGATAGCTCGATGAAGCCCAAAAGGGAAGTGCTCATGGACGAAGTACGGCTCCAACTCACTCTGGCTCCTGTTGACTCACACGTGACAGTGAACTTGATCATCTAAGTAACTCTCTGTGATCAATCTCAGGCAGAATTATACGGCCATGTTTATACCGTACATTTATTGTTTATACATGTTTTTGTTTATTGTGTGTTTTTTCTGTCTGTTTTTTGCATTATATGATTTATATTATATAACTGCATTTAATAACCTTGTTTACTCACCTGTGCCATAGCCCAAAATAAATTAATAAATTAAATGAAGTTAAAAAATCCTGGTGTTAATAACAGAGAGAGAGTAAGTAGTAAACAGCACTTTCCTGGTTTGAATCCTATTTATCAGTAAGTAAGTAATGTTTATTTATATACCATGTGGCAGACCAGAGTCTCAAAGCGGTTTACAATTGTTATTTTTGGGCATTTGTCTCTTACTCCACACAGAGATGGGAGTGGGGTCAGTACAGAAGGCACATGCCAGACCTATTGTACATGTTTTTAATAATAGGAGAAACCGGAGTACCTGGAAGAAACCTACGCAGACACAGGGAGAAAAGTGTTTTCTCCAAATGAGTTTTGTTTCGTCCACTTTTCGGGTAAAAGCAACAATAAAGCTCTAAACCTGACATATGAAGTCCAGGACACGGCAGCTCCTTCTAGTGCCTGTTTGTATTTCACGTGGGCCGCTCATTGCCGCTTGCAGCTGGAGTTGCTGGTATTGGACCCAGGGCGATGTAGCTCAGGTGGATTCTCTGTAACGAGCCCTGACCCTCACACTCCTCACCTTCTCACTCTTGACTTCACTTTGCTCCAGCGTTTGTGATGTAATGGGACCAGGAGGAGCAGAGAGAGACCAGGAAGAGACCAGAGAAAGACCAGAGAGAGGCGAGAGAAAGACCAGAGAGAGACCAGAGAGAGACCAGAGAGAGACCACAGAGAGACCAGAGGGAGACCAGAGAGAGACCAGAGACCAGAGAGAAACCAGAGAAAGTTAGAGACCAGAGAGAGAGAGACCAGAGGCAGACCAGAGACAGACCAGAGAGAGACCAACTCTCCTCCTCTTCTTCAGTTCTTCTAAAACCCCAGAGTGGTCTTAAAGTCCTTGCGTCAGATCTCGTTCAGGATCTGGACCAGACTCTTGGACTCAGTCTGTTCTGTCTCTGATAATCCTCTTCATCTCCTAAACTTTCTCTACTGATTTTAGCTTTCAAAGATTTGCGTTTCTACTTTATATGTGTTTTAGGAGCTCTCTGTGAAGCAGGGGGTCTGTAGTTTTGGCCTCTGGTGACTGACGGATTCACTCTTTGTATTTGTTTGGTTTATTTGTATAGTTCAATCACAGGGGAACAAGACTAGAGCGAGACCAGAGAGAGAGAGACCAGAGAGAGTGAGACCGGAGAGAGAGACCAGAGAGAGACCAGAGAGAGAGACCAGAGAGAGAGAGACCAGGGAGAGAGAGAGACTAGAGAGAGACCAGAGAGAGAGAGAGACCAGAGAGAGAGAGAGACTAGAGAGAGACCAGAGAGAGACCAGAGAGAGACCAGAGAGAGAGAGAGACCAGAGAGAGAGAGAGACTAGAGAGAGACCAGAGAGAGACCAGAGAGAAAGAGAGAGAGACCAGAGAGAGAGCAACTATGAGACCAAAGACCGTGCCTCCTCCACCTCTCGCTCCTCTTTCTACTTTGGAAAAAGTATTTTTTCCAAATTAGTTTTTTCCAGAGAGAGAGACCACTTACTAGTGTCATTGATGTTTTTTGTCTGGCCTTTTTTTCTGCAAAAAAAAAAATAAAAAAGCTAGGCTAAATGCTAAATGCTAACGACTCACTCGGGCCCATACGTCCCATACGTCACAATAAACTCAGATCAAATCGTTTCAATCTGCAAAAGGAGTTAACCCCTCCCACCTGTTAACGGAGTCAATGGAGCAAATCCAGACCTTAGTACAGAATGTAATTTGTACTATGGTGTGGTACGACCAGGCTAGATTTGATGTGGCTGTTAACATTTTAGTCTGAGTCCAGTATTAGTCCTGGATTTCTGACCTGGTTTGAAGGTTTTAGGGAGAGAGACTTTAGGAGACAGAGGACGCTCTCTCTTGGTAAATTGAAATGTAGATCTCAATCGGCGCCAGAGTGAAAGAGGGGGTGCGGCCTTGTGCAGGGGCATTTATAGAGGAAGGTGGCTGGTGATTGGAGCAAATTATTTGATCTCTCTGGCGTGTGACCTGGGGGTCACGAGTGATATCCCACTAGCGAAGTCCTAAGGGACGTAGCACCATGACGTAGAACATAAATTCATTGTGGTTTAAGTCTGTGATGTGAAGAGTCCAGACTGAGACCGGTTCTTCTGGTCTGGACTGGACTGAGAGTCTGCTTCCGTCCACAGCTCACAGTCTGAGTGACAGCTGTCGTCTCCATCTCTCTCTCTGTGACTGAGGCGTCGTGAAAACACAGTCCTCTCCTTCTCCCATTTATAGACCTGTCCATAACACACATTTAGACTGAGGCTGTAGACCCAGGACTGAGGCTGTAGACCCAGGACTGAGGCTGTAGACCCAGGACTGAGGCTGTAGACCCAGGACTGAGGCTGTAGATCAAGGACTGAGGCTGTAGATCCAGGACTGAGGCTGTAGATCCAGGACTGAGGCTGTAGATCCAGGACTGAGGCTGTAGACCCGGGACTCAGGATCTATAGCACCAGTCCTTCTCTCCGATCAAACCTCTCGTGCGTCTCTCCTCGGGCTCAGAACTCAATTTCCATTAAATGTGATCAGGAGACTCTCAGTTCTCGAGTTTCAGAGATTGGTGAAATCTCTGAAACATCAAGAAACTGTTTGTGAGGGAGAGGAACATGTTAAACAGAAAACCAAGAGCAGAGACTGAGGCAGAGACTGAAGCAGAGACTGAAGCAAAGACTGAGGCAGAGACTGAAGCAGAGACTGAAGCAGAGACTGAGGCAGAGACTGAGGCAGAGACTGTGGCAGAGACTGAAGCAGAGACTGAGGCAGAGACTGAGGCAGAGACTGAAGCAGAGACTGAGGCAGAGACTGAAGCAGAGACTGAAGCAAAGACTGAAGCAAAGACTGAGGCAGAGACTGAGGCAGAGACTGAGGCAGAGACTGAGGCAGAGACTGAAGCAGAGACTGAAGCAGAGACTGAGGCAGAGACTGAGGCAGAGACTGAGGCAGAGACTGAGGCAGAGACTGAGGCAGAGACTGAGGCAGAGACTGTGGCAGAGACTGTGGCAGAGACTGTGGCAGAGACTGAGGCAGAGACTGAGGCAGAGACTGAGGCAGAGACTGTGGCAGAGACTGAAGCAGAGACTGAGGCAGAGACTGAGGCAGAGACTGAGGCAGAGACTGTGGCAGAGACTGAGGCAGAGACTGAGGCAGAGACTGAAGCAGAGACTGAAGCAAAGACTGAGGCAGAGACTGAGGCAGAGACTGAGGCAGAGACTGAGGCAGAGACTGAGGCAGAGACTGAAGCAGAGACTGAAGCAGAGACTGAGGCAGAGACTGAGGCAGAGACTGAGGCAGAGACTGAGGCAGAGACTGAGGCAGAGACTGTGGCAGAGACTGAGGCAGAGACTGTGGCAGAGACTGAAGCAGAGACTGAGGCAGAGACTGAGGCAGAGACTGTGGCAGAGACTGAGGCAGAGACGACTGAGGCAGAGACTGAAGCAGAGACTGAAGCAAAGACTGAGGCAGAGACTGAAGCAGAGACTGAAGCAGAGACTGAAGCAGAGACTGAAGCAGAGACTGAAGCAGAGACTGAAGCAGAGGCTGAGGCAGAGACTGAGGCAGAGACTGAGGCAGAGACTGAGACTGAGGCAGAGACTGAGCCAGAGACTGTGGCAGAGACTGAGGCAGAGACTGAGGCAGAGACTGAGGCTGAGGCAGAGACTGAGGCAGAGACTGATGCAGAGACTGAGGCAGAGACTGAGGCAGAGGCTGAGGCAGAGACTGAGGCAGAGACTGAGGCAGAGACTGAGGCAGAGACTGAGGCAGAGGCTGAGGCAGAGACTGAGGCAGAGACTGAGGCAGAGACTGAGGCAGAGACTGAGGCAGAGACTGAGGCAGAGACTGAGGCAGAGACTGAGGCAGAGACTGAGGCAGAGACTGAGGCAGAGACGACTGAGGCAGAGACTGAAGCAGCTCAGGTCCATGAATCCTGGTCCAAAGTCAGACCAGAGGTCAGTGTGTGTCACATAATGCCAGACCTGAACCAGATCCACCCTTGTGCTCAGAAAAGGACTGTGTAGACTGGTTATAGACCGGCTGTAGACCCAGTGTGTCACCTCCATTTGGCCCATCGGAACGTGGTCTGAAATGGTGGTCTACAGCAGCTCTAAATCAGGACTAAAGAAGGTCTAAAGCAGGACTAAAGCAGGTCTAAAGCAGGTCTAAAGCAGGTCTAAAGCAGGTCTAAAGCAGGTCTAAAGCAGGTCTAAAGCAGGTCTAAAGCAGGACTAAAACAGGACTAAAGCAGGACTAAAGCAGGACTAAAGCAGGACTAAAGCAGGACTAAAGCAGGACTAAAGCAGGTCTAAAGCAGGTCTAAATCAGACTTTAGAAAACTTATTTTTAAAAGTTATTTCTACTCGTTCTTGTCTTCCTCGCGGTGAAAAACCAACACGGGTCCAAACAACACGCCCCCCTTTCCCACTGTGGCCTCGGGTCATGATTGCACTTGAACACAGCAGAACAGAGCCACATGTGAGTATCCAGAGTCTGTTGTGGTGTCTTCACTCGGGGGGCGGGGTTGTCCTGGTCCTCAGCTCCAGAGGTAATAAGGGCTCCAGGGGGCGCTGCAGTCCCCTGTGTCTCGCTCTGGGGCCAAAGCCGTGGGCAGCAGCGTTTAACGAAGTCACGGAGGAGCGGCCGCGGTCACGGTAAACAGTCCTGAGAGAACAGCACATTCTGCAACATGAGACATTAAAGCTCGGGTCCCTGACTTTAGGGCTTCAGGAATAACACAGAGTCACAGTGTTTTCAATCCAAGACATACAATCTGCATCTGGTCTCTCTCTGGTCTCTCTCTGGTCTCTTTCAGGTCTCTCTCTAGTCTCTCTCTGGTCTCTCTCTGGACTCTCTCTGGTCTCTCTCTGGTCTCTCTCTGGTCTCTCTCTCTGGTCTCTCTCTGGTCTCTCTCTGGTCTCTCTCTGGTCTCTCTCTGGTCTCTCTCTGGTCTTTCTCTCTAGTCTCTCTCTGGTCTCTCTCTGGTCTCTATCTGGTCTCTCTCTCTGGTCTCTCTCTGGTCTCTCTCTGGTCTCTCTCTCTGGTCTCTCTCTGGTCTCTCTCTGGTCTCTCTCTGGTCTCTCTCTGGTCTCTCTCTGGTCTTTCTCTCTAGTCTCTCTGTGGTCTCTCTCTGGTCTCTCTCTGCTCTCTCCCTGGTCTCTCTCTGGTCTCTCTCTCTGGTCTCTCTCTGGTCTTTCTCTCTAGTCTCTCTCTGGTCTCTCTCTGGTCTCTGTCTCTGGTCTCTCCCTGGTCTCTCTCTGGTCTCTCCCTGGTCTCTTTCTGGTCTTTCTCTGATGTTTTGTTTTGAGATCGATTTTTGTGTTTAATCCGTGACTTTTTCACATTTCAATTGTCAATATTTCATCTTTTGAGCCAATTATCTCCAACCCCAGAGACTGCAGTCATAGACCACACACCCACTCCTCTCGGTCTCTGTGTCGGTGAGCACTTCTCCTTTGCAAAGATAACCAACCTCGCAGTTTGTCCACCTCGCAGTTTGTCCAGCTCGCAGAGACCAGAGAGAGAGAGTAACGAGTCTCATTATAATCTTAAAGGGCAGGTCTATAACTGTTCGTAATATTTCCTCGTTGAATAATTGCAGTCTTTGTGATTTGCGGATTGTGTTTGTGGTCTTACTGCTCGGCTCTGTTGGAAGGCGAGCTTCTCTCTCACTCTCTCTCTGGTCTCTCCCTGTCTCTCTCTCTGGTCTCTCTGGTCTCTCTCTGTCTCTCTCTCTCTGGTTTCTCTCTCTGGTCTCTCTCTCTGGTCTCTCTCTCTGGTTTCTCTCTCTGGTCTCTCTCTGGTCTGTCCCTGGTCTCTCTCTGGTCTCTCTGGTCTCCTTCTGGTCTCTCTCTGGTCTCCCTCTGGTCGCTCTCTTGTCTCTCTCTTCCTTCGTCTCTCTCTCTGGTCTCTCTCTTCATTCGTCTCTCTCTCTGGTCTCTCTCTTCATTCGTCTCTCTCTCTGGTCTCTCTCTGGTCTCTCTCTCTCTAGTCTCTCTCTCTGAAGCCTGAGCTACACTTCTCTGTATCGTTTACCGTAGCGACTTCATTAAAGCATCAAATTACTGGAAAAACTGTGGATCGAGAGTGAGACCATAATGAGATTGATTTAACCACAAAACATTTGGAGGGTTTAGAGACCAGAGCGAGACCAAATAGGGACCAGAGAGACCAGATAGAGAGATTAGAGAGAGACAAAAGAGGGACCAGAGAGAGAACAGAGAGAGACCAGAGCGAGACCAGAGAGGGACCAGAGAGGGACCAGAGAGGGACCAGAGAGAGACCAGAGAGAGACCAGAGAGGGACCAGAGTGAGACCAGAGCGAGACCAGAGCGAGACCAGAGCGAGACCAGAGCGAGACCAGAGCGAGACCAGAGCGAGACCAGAGAGAGACCAGAGAGAGACCAGAGAGAGACCAGAGATTCTTTAAAACTGTGGGAAAGAATCCACTTTGTAAATAAATAGAATTAGCAAACGTCTTGTTGTTTGATGGAGATTAGATTCACAAAGTCTTCTGTCTCTTCTCTGATAATAAAAAGATACGAGAGAAGCCACAGCTGCCCTGGGGCACACTGACAGAGGCGAGGAAACCAGTCTGTGTCATCGGCCCCTTCCAATAGTCCCCTTTCTACTGCCAACATCAGGCTCATCTTTTTGATTATTACACCACTTTGAGGCACCTTTATGATACAATCTGTCTGGTCTCTCTCTCTGGTGTCTCTCTGGTGTCTCTCTCTGGTGTCTCTCTGGTGTCTCTCTCTCTGGTCTCTGGTGTCTCTCTGGTGTCTCTCTCTGGTGTCTCTCTGGTGTCTCTCTCTGGTCTCTCTCTCTGGTCTCTCTGGTGTCTCTCTGGTCTCTCTCTCTGGTCTCTCTGGTGTCTCTCTGGTGTCTCTCTGGTGTCTCTCTGGTGTCTCTCTCTGGTGTCTCTCTGGTGTCTCTCTCTGGTGTAAGTAAGTAAGTAAGTAATATTTATTTATATAGCACCTTTCACAGACAGAGGTCACAAAGTGCTTCACAAAAAATACAAATAGAAATAAAAGTACATTTACATTTACAATCACAAAACATGGTGGTCATAAAACAACCCCTTTCCCACTGGAATTAAAATGCTTTTTCAAACAAGTAGGTTTTCAGTTTACACTTAAAAACATCAACACAATCAAGTAAGCGCAAGGAAAGCGGAAGATCGTTCCAGAGCGTCGGCGACCACCTGGAAGGAGCGATCTCCTCTCGTCTTGTAACGGGTACGAGGGACCATGAGAAGGTTCTGATCCTGAGACCTCAGCCTCCGAGAGGGGGTATAAGGACACAACAAGTCTCTAATGTAAGAGGGACCCTGACCATGCAAGGCTCTGAAGGTCAACACCAGGATTTTAAAATTGAAACGAAAAGTGACTGGGAGCCAATGGAGGGCTTTTAGAATGGGAGTAATATGAGCCCGTCTGTTTGTGCGAGTCAGTAACCTCGCCGCAGAGTTTTGTACCTGCTGAAGGCGGGACAACTCCTTTTTGTTTAGACAAGAAAATAAACTGTTACAATAGTCTGAACGGGAAGACACAAAGGCGTGGATAATCATTTCAAGGTCATCCCTTGGCACAATTGTTCTAAGTTTGGAGATTTTTCTCAGTTGGTAAAAACAGTTCCTTGTCAGCAGTTTTGAGTGATGCTTTAAGGACATTGCTTTGTCAAAGTTAACGCCTAGATTTCTGAGGCTTGCTTTAGTAGACAAACTCAGACCGCCCAAATACTGGTGAATCCCTAGAATAGCGTCATCAGGGGCAAACACCAGCATCTCCGTTTTGTCTGAATTTAGTTGGAGGGAATTTGTACCGAGCCATTTTTTAACTTGCGTAAGACATTTCAGCAAAGAGCTTAACTTCTGGATCTCAGAGGGCTTGAAAGAGCAGTATAGCTGAATATCATCAGCATATAAATGGTAAGAAACATCATCAAAGCTCTGGATAATTTTCCCTAATGGAAGGACATAGAGTAAAAACAAAATCGGGCCCAAAACAGAGCCTTGAGGAACCCCGCACAGCAAATCAGCAGAGTCAGACAGGAACTTATTTGCAGAGACACTAAAGCTCCTCCCCGATAAATAAGAGGAGAACCACGCAAGGACTGGTCCTGACATTCCGACCAGGTCACGCAGTCTTGTCAACAAGATTTGGTGATTCACAGTGTCAAATGCTGACGAGAGATCTAACAACACAAGAACAGTACATCTTCCAGAGTCTGCAGACATCATAATATCACTGGACACTTTAAGCCGGGCGGTTTCCGTGGAGTGATGCTTACGGAAACCGGATTGAAAAGTGTCAAAAATTTTGTGTTTCTCCAAGAAGGGTACCAACTGATCAGAGACCACCTTCTCCAACACTTTGGACAAAAACGGAAGTTTTGAAATGGGCCTGAAATTGTTCAGATGCGTAGGGTCAAGATTAGGCTTTTTGAGAAGAGGTTCCACAATGGCATGTTTTAAAGAACTGGGAAAAACACCAGTTGACAGTGAAAGGTTGATCAGATTGGTAACCCAGGGGCCAATGACATCAAAAACTTTGACAAAAAGTTTACAGGGCAGAACATCAGACACACAGAAAGAGGGCTTCATTCTGGTTACCAGAGCTGAGACATTGGCTTGTGTAACAGGGCTAAAAGAGGACCACTCATGGGGAACAAGCTCAACAGCATCAGGTGTGCAAAACGAGAGCGTTGGAAGTTGATCTATGATCACCTGGATTTTATCAATAAAAAATGTTCGAAATTCATTGCTGTCAGCTTTACAAAACACAGGTGCAAGAGGAGCAGCAGGACATACAATAGAGTTGATGGTATCAAACAATACTTGAGGTTTTTTCTTATTCATGGTGATCAGCTGGCGGAAGTAGTCAGATCTGGCATTTTTTATCGTTTCGTTTAAAGAAGACATAAGTTCCCTGAGGTGAAACCTATGTACCTCAAGTTTGGTGGACTTCCACAGACGCTCGGTTTTCCGACATAGTCTCTTCATATCACGGATACCATCATTAATCCAGGGACACACTGCTTTATGAGACACCAGATTTGATTTGACAGGTGCAACCTGATCCAAAATGGACTCACAGTGGCTATTAAAACTATGCATGAGGCTTTCCACATCGTGACATTCCAAAAATAATTTCAAATCAAACAAAGTGGAGAAACTAACAGTAGTGTTCTCTGTGATAATCCGCCTCTGAGACCTAAACTCAGAAGACACAAGCTCAGGACCAGAGATTAGATCAAATAAAACACAGCAATGATCACTCATGTGGACGTCATCTACACAAAGGTTGGCAACATTAAGGCCAAGTGAAAAGACCCTTTTGATGGGTAGGGCCAGAGACATGTTGCTCAAAATTAAAAGTTTCTGTCATTGTTAAAAGTTCCACTGCTGGGCAGGATGTGCTGTCATCAACATGGATATTAAAATCTCCAAGAGGTGTCTGGTGTCTCTCTCTGGTGTCTCTCTGGTGTCTCTCTCTGGTCTCTCTCTCTGGTCTCTCTCTCTGGTCTCTCTGGTGTCTCTCTGGTGTCTCTCTCTGGTGTCTCTCTCTGGTGTCTCTCTCTGGTGTCTCTCTCTGGTGTCTCTCTTGTGTCTCTCTCTGGTCTCTCTCTCTGGTCTCTGGTGTCTCTCTGGTGTCTCTCTGGTGTCTCTCTCTGGTGTCTCTCTTGTGTCTCTCTCTGGTGTCTCTCTTGTGTCTCTCTCTGGTGTCTCTCTTGTGTCTCTCTCTGGTGTCTCTCTTGTGTCTCTCTCTGGTCTCTCTCTCTGGTGTCTCTCTGGTGTCTCTCTGGTGTCTCTCTCTGGTGTCTCTCTTGTGTCTCTCTCTGGTGTCTCTCTTGTGTCTCTCTCTGGTGTCTCTCTTGTGTCTCTCTCTGGTCTCTCTCTCTGGTCTCTCTGGTGTCTCTCTGGTGTCTCTCTCTGGTGTCTCTCTTGTGTCTCTCTCTGGTCTCTCTCTCTGGTCTCTCTGGTGTCTCTCTGGTCTCTCTCTGGTCTCTCTCTGGTCTGGATAGAACATAGACTTCCATTGCTGTGGTGTGAAAGTATTGTCCCCAGCTTTAAGACTCACCTGGTTGTTGTTGCTGGTGTGTGTTTCTGGTCCCAGCCCTGCTCTACGCCACCATCTTTGGGAACGTGACCACGATCTTCCAGCAGATGTACGCTAACACCAACCGCTACCACGAGATGCTCAACAACGTCAGGGACTTCCTGTCGCTGTACCAGGTCCCCAAGGGCCTCAGCGAGCGCGTCATGGACTATGTGGTCTCCACCTGGTCCATGTCCAAGGGCATCGACACAGACAAGGTACCAGACCAGGACTGGACCAGCACGACAGCTCTGGACCAGGACTGAACCAGGACTGAACCAGGACTGAACCCAGTCTGGACCAGGACTGAACCAGGTCTGAACCAGGTCTGAACCCAGTCTGGACCAGGACTGAACCAGGTCTGAACCAAGTCTGGACCAGGTCTGAACCAAGTCTGGACCAGTTCTGGACCAGGTCTAGACCAGGACTGAACCAGGTCTGAACTAGGTCTAAACAAGATCTGAACCAGGTTTGAGCCAGGACTACAGGTCTGAACCGGGACTGAACCGAAACTTAACCAGGACTAAACCAGGACCATAGTTGTGGACCAGGTCTGAGCCAGGTCTACAGCCTCAGTCCTGGATCTACAGCCTCAGTCCTGGATCTACAGCCTCAGTCCTGGGTCTACAGCCTCAGTCCTGGATCTACAGCCTCAGTCCTGGATCTACAGCCTCAGTCCTGGATCTACAACCTCAGTCCTGGCAGACTCTTTCCACTGGGACTAAAATCACGGTTGTTTTCTTTCTGATTCTGATTTCTTTCGCTGTTGGAGCCAATTAGTTCTTGTTTCTTATTTCCTCACATTGTTTATTTTTCTTAAAAATACAAAACATTTTCTCAGTTTGTGTGATTTCCTGAACACTGTCCATGTTTGAAGATAATGAGCCTCTGTGCAGCAATTAGAGACCAGCAGAGGAACCAGAGGGAGACAACTGCTCTCTCTCTGGTTTCTCTCTGGTTTCTCTCTGGTCTCTCTCTCTGTTCTCTGGTCTCTCTCTGGTCTCTCTCTGGTCTCTCTCATTTGTCTCTCTTTGGTCTCTCTCTGTTCTCTGGTCTCTCTCTGGTCTCTCTCTCTGCTCTCTCTCTGGTCTCTCTCTGGTCTCTCTCTAGTCTCTCTCTAGTCTCTCTCTGGTCTCTCTCTAGTCTCTCTCTAGTCTCTCTCTGGTCTCTCTCTGGTCTCTCTCTGGTCTCTCTCTGGTCTCTCTCTGGTCTCTCTCATTTGTCTCTCTTTGGTCTCTCTCTGTTCTCTGGTCTCTCTCTGGTCTCTCTCTCTGGTCTCTCTCTCTGCTCTCTCTCTGGTCTCTCTCTGGTCTCTCTCTAGTCTCTCTCTAGTCTCTCTCTGGTCTCTCTCTGGTCTCTCTCTGGTCTCTCTCTGGTCTCTCTGATCTGTCTTTGGTCTCTATCTGTTCTGTCACTTTAGAGAGTCTGAAATAAGTTTTGAGCTGTTTATTTTCACACATTCCTGCTGACACGGGTCCAGATGACACGCCTCCCTTTCCCTCCTCCTCACATCCTGCTCCAATCTCTCTCTGTTTTGTCCGTTTTCAGGTCCTGTCCATTTGTCCCAAAGACATGAGAGCCGACATCTGCGTCCACCTGAACCGCAAGGTAAGATGGTTTAAAGGGTACGTACCATGCTCTCGTCTGCTACTGTCACACGATAGAAAGTTCTACCTCAGGTCTCGTTGCGGTCACCTGAACGTCTCTGACCTCTGCTAGTCCTCAGAGCCTGTATGTGTCGTATTGATCAGTCTACTGTAATAGACGCCTCACTATAAATATCACTGTCCCCTTGAGCTCGGGCTGGAGGACGCTGGGAACTTCTGCACGGGCATAAGTAAAGGTCCAAGACTAGACCCGGGACTGAGGCTGTAGACCCAGACCCAGGTCTGAGGCTGTAGATCCAGGACTGAGGCTGTAGATCCAGGACTGAGGCTGTAGATCCAGGACTGAGGCTGTAGATCCAGGACTGAGGCTTTAGACCCAAGACTGAGGCTGTAGATCCAGTCCCTCAGTGCTGACTGTTCGCCTGGTCTCTCTGTAGTCCTGGTCTCAATTCTGATGTCAGTCCTGGTCTCAAGCCGCGTTCAGACCGGATCATGCTACGGTGACTTTCAATTCTAAGTCAATGGGGACGCATGTTTGAGCGTGGAACTGCACGAGCGTCTCGGGACGCTCTCACGGACTGCGCGGCAGTGACGCAGGAGCGGAAAATTGACACACGCAGGAGATAAACATTAGGCCCCGACTCCACCGGGCGCGTAAAACGGACGACGGATCCGTCCAAACGTGTCCGTTTCATCTCGGTCTCCATTATCTCCATGAGGGTGAATGGAAGTGGCTCCGTCCACGGAGGGTGCAACGGACGCGGACGGACGAAATAGAAACAATCCTATCTGTTCCGTGTCGGGTCCGTATTGAAAATACAAAGGAATAGTATATTTACCACATTATTAAACATGTATTGATATATGCTGTGGTCCTTGGTTATAAGTATTTGTTAATAATCATTGTCATTAACAAACGTGTGTCATTTTTTTCATGTATTAATTTAAATAATTGTTTCCTGATCGTAAATCTACCATTTATTTTTCGCGTAATGTTAATACGCTAAACTCTCGCTCTTTTTGCTCTCGCTCTGTCCCCGTCTACCTCCAAGGCGCTCTCTCCTCACCGCACACACACATTACACACACACTCACACACACACACACACACGCACACGCGCACACACAAGAGACAGATCTCACAACACTGGATATGTTAGAGTTCTTTTCTCTTTTCACATCACACACCACTTCTTCTATTTAAAACAATTCCTCACGGGGGCTGATAAACGCACAGCCAGAGCTGCTGCTGCAGCCGGTTTGACCACTATTCTGTTTTACGGACGTCTGACGGGCAGCAGCCAACGCGCGTCAACGGAGACGCGCCCGGTGGAGTCCAGGCCTTAGTGAGTGTTTCCTCAGACGCTCGTGCTGCGACCAATCAGAGAGCAGCAAAGTGGTCACGGGGACATTAGCGGACTGAGCGAGCAGACTGAACATACTGTAAACAGCCAAAACAGGAGCTACAACAGGACTAAACCAGGACTAAACCAGGACTAAACCAGGACTAAACCAGGATTAAACCAGGATTAAACCAGGACTAAACCAGGACTAAACCAGGACTAAACCAGGATTGACAATGGGGGACATAGTGCTTGTGAACATATGCCTCCAGCCTGAGTTATCATTCTCCAGTGACTGCAAACTAGCAAAGCTCGAGTGTTCACTGAACACATGCTGCTGTTGTATAAAGTCTGTGAAGGTCTCAGACCCAGAGATGAACTTTACACAAAAAGCCGCTAGCTTCTAGAATGTGCGTCTGGTGCGCGAGGCGTCAGCGTTCCAGCGTTGGCGTCTGAATGCTCCATCCGTTCTAGTCTCTCTCTGGTCTCTCTCTAGTCTCATTGATCTCTCTGGTCTCTCTCTGGTCTCTCTCTGGTCTCTCTCTGGTCTCTCTGGTCTCTCTCTAGTCTCATTGATCTCTCTGGTCTCTCTCTGGTCTCTCTCTGGTCTCTCTCTGGTCTCTCTGGTCTCTCTCTGGTCTCTCTCTGGTCTCTCTCTGGTCTCTCTGGTCTCTCTCTGGTCTCTCTGGTCTCTCTCTAGTCTCATTGATCTCTCTGGTCTCTCTCTGGTCTCTCTCTGGTCTCTCTGGTCTCTCTCTGGTCTCTCTCTAGTCTCATTGATCTCTCTGGTCTCTCTCTGGTCTCTCTCTGGTCTCTCTCTGGTCTCTCTCTGATCTCTCTGGTCTCTCTCTAGTCTCTCTCTGGTCTCTCTCTGGTCTCTCTCTAGTCTCTCTCTGGTCTCTCTCTGGTCTCTCTCTGGTCTCTCTCTGGTCTCTCTCTGATCTCTCTGGTCTCTCTGGTTTCCCAGGTCTTTAACGAGCACCCTGCGTTCCGCCTCGCCTCAGATGGGTGTTTGCGGTCCCTGGCGGTGGAGTTCCAGACGACTCACTGTGCTCCTGGAGACCTGGTGTTTCACTCCGGGGAGACTCTGGACTCGCTCTGCTTCGTGGTGTCGGGGTCTTTGGAGGTCATCCAGGACGACGAGGTCATCGCCATCCTGGGTACGAGATTTATATTCTACTCTACTCTACTCTACTCTACTCTACTTTACTCTACTTTACTCTACTTTTCTTTAATCTACTCTGCTCTACTAGACCAGAGAGAGAGAGCAGATGGAAACTAGAGAGAGAGAGAGAGAGAGAGAGAGAGAGACTAGAAAGAGACCAGAGAGAGAGACTAGAGAGAGACCAGAGAGAGAGAGCAGATGGAAACTAGAGAGAGAGAGAGAGACAAGAAAGAGACCAGAGAGAGAGACCAGTGAAAGATCAGAGAGAGACCAGAGAGAGAGACCAGAGAGAGACCAGAGAGACCAGAGAGAGGACTGGACCAGGATTGACGTTCCTTCAGTTATATTTAAAGCTAAACTGTGAGCGGATGAGTGTTTCTGTTTAAGAGACTGGCCCTGACCGTGTCTGTGGCGCCCCCTGTCTGCAGGTAAAGGCGACGTGTTCGGGGACGTGTTCTGGAAGGAGGCGGCGCCCGCTCACGCCTGCGCTAACGTCCGCGCGCTAACGTACTGCGACCTCCACGTGATCCACCGCGACGCGCTGCTCAAGGTGCTGCAGTTCTACACCGCCTTCGCCAACTCCTTCTCACGCAACCTCATCCTCACCTGCAACCTGCGCAAACGGGTAAGAACCAGGACCAAGCAGGCTGAAGCGGACCAAAGTGGGCCAAAGCAGGCTGGACCAGACTGGACCAAACCAAAGCATGCGGAAGTGGGCCAAAGCAGGTTGAATCAGGCTGGACCAGACTGGACCAGGACTGAAGCAGGCTGGACCAGACTGAACAATGACTGAACCGGACTGGACCGGAATGACCCAGGCTGAAGCAGACTGGACCAGGCTGAAGCAGACTGGACCAGACTGAAGCAGGACTGAAGCAGAACTGAACCAGACTGAACCAGGACTGAAGCATAGACTGTAAATAACATGGACTGAAAGACTCGGATTCAAACACAGACCCAGACCCAGACCCCTGCAGCCTGCCCTCAGACCCACTTCTTCAGTCTGAAACCACGTGAAGCTGCTGAAACAAACACTGTGAACTTTCTATAACTTTCTTTCATTTGTGCTGAGTCGTGCTGAGGATTGTGCCTGCTCAGATTTCATGGATTTCCAAAATGGCTGAGTCGCCTTTAGCTCCAGCAGTAGCAGCAGCAGTAGCAGCAGCAGTAGTAGCAGTAGCAGCAGTAGTAGCAGCAGCAGCAACAGCAGCAGCAGCAGCAGTAGTAGCAGCAGCAGTAGCAGCAGCAGTAGCAGCAGTAGTAGCAGTAGCAGCAGCAGTAGTAGCAGTAGCAACAGCAGCAACAGCAGCAACAGCAGCAGCAGTAGCAGCAGCAGTAGCAGCAGCAGCAGTAGCAGCAGCAGTAGTAGCAGTAGCAGCAGCAGTAGTAGCAGTAGCAGCAGCAGTAGTAGCAGTAGCAGCAATAGCAGCAGCAGTAGCAGCAGTAGCAGCAGCAGTAGCAGCAGTAGCAGCAGCAGTAGTAGCAGTAGCAGCAGCAGTAGTACCAGTAGCAGCAGCAGTAGCAGCAGTAGCAGCAGTAGTAGCAGTAGTAGCAGTAGCAGCAGTAGCAGCAGTAGCAGCAGCAACAGCAGCAACAGCAGCAGCATTAGTAGCAGCAGTAGCAGCAGTAGTAGCAGTAGCAGCAGTAGCAGCAGTAGCAGCAGCAACAGCAGCAACAGCAGCAGTAGCAGCAGCAGCAGTAGCAGTAGCAGCAGCAGTAGTAGCAGTAGCAGCAGTAGTAGCAGCAGTAGCAGCAGGAGTAGCAGTAGCAGCAGCAGTAGTAGCAGTAGCAGCAGCAGTAGCTGCTCGGTCAGGGCACAAAAGAGAAAGTACCAGAGGGCCGAGCGGAAGTGGCGCAAGTCCAACCTCCAGGTAGATTACGAGATCTTCAAAGATAAGTTGTGCGAGTTTAACCGGGTGCTACGTAGTACGAGAGAAAAGTATTTTTCTGAAATGATTGAAGGCTGCAGTAACAATCTGCGTGTTCTGTTCTCAACAGTTAATAGATTAACAAACCCCCCTGTTCAGATACCATTAGAGCTAACTTCCAAACGTAAATGTAATGAGTTTGCACACTTTTTCAATGACAAGGTTCAAGGCATCAAAAACGCCATTGTCTCCAATCCACAGATAACAATCCAACAATCAGAAAGGCTCTTTGAGCTAACTCACTTTGCACCTGTAAATGATAAAACTGTCCAAGAGATAATCTCCAGTTTGAGCTCCTCCACATGCAGCCTGGATGTACTACCCACTAGATAGTCTGTTCTGAGCAGTCTGTTACCTTCACTCACACAGATAGTAAACATGTCCCTTCATTCTGGAATATTCCCAAAGGCCCTGAAAACTGCAGTCATCAGGCCCCTGCTAAAAAAGAGCAGGCTGGATCCCACGGTACTTAACAACTATCGTCCCATCTCAAATCTGCCATTTATGGGAAAAGTCCTTGAGAAAGTTGTCTACCAACAGCTAAATAGATTTCTTATAATCAACAACTCATTTGACATGTTTCAGTCCGGCTTTAGACCCCACCACAGCACTGAGACTGCTCTCGTTAAGGTTACAAACGATATCCGGCTGAACACTGACGCAGGCAAAGTCTCAATCCTAATCCTGTTAGATCTGAGTGCTGCCTTTGACACTGTCGACCATGAGATCCTCTTACAGAGACTAGAGGACTGGGTTGGCGTCGCTGGCACCGCCCTAAGTTGGTTTAGGTCTTACCTTGAAGACAGGAAGTACTTTTGTGGAGATTGGAAACTGTGTCTCAGATCATATGGCCCTGACCTGTGGAGTACCACAGGGGTCGATCCTGGGACCTCTTCTGTTCAATCTCTACATGCTGCCGTTAGGTCAGTTAATACGCAGAAACAAAGTTTCCTATCATAACTATGCAGACGACACTCAGATCTATGTCTCACTGACTGCAGGAGAACATGGACCAGTGGACTCACTCCTTCACTGTATCCAACAGATCAGTGAGTGGATGCAAAACAACTTCCTTCAGCTAAACGCAGACAAAACTGAAATGATTGCCTTTGGTTCCCAGAAACAAAGAGAGAGCGTCATCTGTCACCTCCAGTCTCTCTCCCTAAAACCTTCAAACAAGGTCAGATATCTAGGGGTAATACTGGACTCAGACATAAATTTTAATAGCCACATCAAATCAGTAACATCAGCAGCTTTTTACAATCTAAAAAACATTGCCAGGATCAAAAACATAGTGTCTAAAGCAGACTTGGAGATTCTTATCCATGCATTTGTCTCCAGTAGGTTAGACTACTGCAATGGCCTGCTCACAGGTCTGTCCAAACAGGCTGTAAAACAGCTGCAGTACATTCAAAATGCAGCAGCTCGAGTCCTGACTAGAACCAGGAAGTACGACCATATTAGTCCTGACTAGAACCAGGAAGTACGACCATATTAGTCCTGACTAGAACCAGGAAGTACGACCACATTAGTCCTGACTAGAACCAGGAAGTACGACCACATTAGTCCAGTCCTCAGGTCTCTGCACTGGCTTCCTGTGGCTCAGAGAATAGACTTTAAAACAGCTCTGCTTGTTACAAGTCTCTCCATGGCCTCGCACCAAAATATATTAGTGACATGTTAGTCCCATATGAACCAGCCCGGACTCTGAGGAGCACAGGGACTGGACTCCTGCTGGGACTCTGAGGAGCACAGGGACTGGACTCCTGCTGGGACTCTGAGGAGCACAGGGACTGGACTCCTGCTGGGACTCTGAGGAGCACAGGGACTGGACTCCTGTTAGTGCCCAGAGTCAGAACTAAACATGGGGAGGCTGCTTTTCAGATTCATGCTGTAAAATCTGGAACAGTCTTCCTGAAGATGTGAGACAGGCCTCCTCTCTGACAATGTTTAAAACCAGGTTAAAGACAGTTCTGTTTAGCTGTGCATACAACTGAGGGATTTTATATTTGTATCTTTCTTTTTAATGTTCTGTGATTATTTATGATTTTAATGCTTTCTTGTTTTGTTCAGCACTTTGAGTTGCCTTGTGTATGAATTGTGCTATATAAATAAACTTGCCTTGCCTTAGCAGCAGTAGCAGCAGCAGCAGCAGCAGTAGTAGCAGCAGCATTAGTACCAGTAGCAGCACCAGTAGCAGCAGTAGCAGTAGCAGCAGTAGTAGCAGTAGCAGCAGCAGTAGTAGCAGTAGCAGCAGCAGTAGTAGCAGTAGCAGCAGCAGTAGCAGCAGCAGTAGTAGCAGTAGCAGCAGCAGTAGCAGCAGTAGTAGCAGTAGCAGCAGCAGTAGCAGCAACAGTAGCAGCAGCAGCAGCAGTAGTAGCAGCAGCATTAGTACCAGTAGCAGCACCAGTAGCAGCAGTAGTAGCAGCAGTAGCAGCAGCAGTGGTAGCAGTAGCAGCAGTAGCAGCAGCAGTAGCAGCAGCACCAGTAGCAGTAGCAGCAGCAGTAGTAGCTGTAGCAGCAGCAGTAGTAGCAGCAGCAGTAGTAGCAGTAGCAGCAGTAGTAGCAGTAGCAGTAGCAGCAGCAGTAGTAGCAGTAGCAGCAGCAGTAGCTGCAGTAGCAGCAGCAGTAGCTGCTCGGTCAGGGCACAAAAGAGAAAGTACCAGAGGGCCGAGCGGAAGTGGCGCAAGTCCAACCTCCAGGTAGATTACGAGATCTTCAAAGATAAGTTGTGCGAGTTTAACCGGGTGCTACGTAGTACGAGAGAAAAGTATTTTTCTGAAATGATTGAAGGCTGCAGTAACAATCTGCATGTTCTGTTCTCAACAGTTAATAGATTAACAAACCCCCCTGTTCAGATACCATTAGAGCTAACTTCCAAACGTAAATGTAATGAGTTTGCACACTTTTTCAATGACAAGGTTCAAGGCATCAAAAACGCCATTGTCTCCAATCCACAGATAACAATCCAACAATCAGAAAGGCTCTTTGAGCTAACTCACTTTGCACCTGTAAATGATAAAACTGTCCAAGAGATAATCTCCAGTTTGAGCTCCTCCACATGCAGCTTGGATGTACTACCCACTAGATTTCTGAAGTCTGTTCTGAGCAGTCTGTTACCTTCACTCACACAGATAGTAAACATGTCCCTTCATTCTGGAATATATAAAAAAGAGCAGGCTGGATCCCACGGTACTTAACAACTATCGTCCCATCTCAAATCTGCCATTTATGGGAAAAGTCCTTGAGAAAGTTGTCTACCAACAGCTAAATAGATTTCTTATAATCAACAACTCATTTGACATGTTTCAGTCCGGCTTTAGACCCCACCACAGCACTGAGACTGCTCTCGTTAAGGTTACAAACGATATCCGGCTGAACACTGACGCAGGCAAAGTCTCAATCCTAATCCTGTTAGATCTGAGTGCTGCCTTTGACACTGTCGACCATGAGATCCTCTTACAGAGACTAGAGGACTGGGTTGGCGTCGCTGGCACCGCCCTAAGTTGGTTTAGGTCTTACCTTGAAGACAGGAAGTACTTTTGTGGAGATTGGAAACTGTGTCTCAGATCATATGGCCCTGACCTGTGGAGTACCACAGGGGTCGATCCTGGGACCTCTTCTGTTCAATCTCTACATGCTGCCGTTAGGTCAGTTAATACGCAGAAACAAAGTTTCCTATCATAACTATGCAGACGACACTCAGATCTATGTCTCACTGACTGCAGGAGAACATGGACCAGTGGACTCACTCCTTCACTGTATCCAACAGATCAGTGAGTGGATGCAAAACAACTTCCTTCAGCTAAACGCAGACAAAACTGAAATGATTGCCTTTGGTTCCCAGAAACAAAGAGAGAGCGTCATCTGTCACCTCCAGTCTCTCTCCCTAAAACCTTCAAACAAGGTCAGATATCTAGGGGTAATACTGGACTCAGACATAAATTTTAATAGCCACATCAAATCAGTAACATCAGCAGCTTTTTACAATCTAAAAAACATTGCCAGGATCAAAAACATAGTGTCTAAAGCAGACTTGGAGATTCTTATCCATGCATTTGTCTCCAGTAGGTTAGACTACTGCAATGGCCTGCTCACAGGTCTGTCCAAACAGGCTGTAAAACAGCTGCAGTACATTCAAAATGCAGCAGCT